TCCATTGAGTGTTTTTCGTAAGACGAGGAGCTCATCGCGCGACATGCTGTAGAGAGGACCCCAGGGTGGTTGCGGGTCCTTGCCATCTTCCTTGATAAGCTCAATCGTATGATCTATGCCGCGTCCTCGGTGAGGGGGGAGCTTTTCGGCCGCCTTTTCATCAAACACGTCTGCGAAGTCTTTATACGATTCGGGGAGTTCTTTGCGGAGTTTCTTGGGGTCCTTGGGCTCTAATTTCTCTAACGCCTTTTTGATATCCGCCATGCTGGCGGCGAACACCTGGACATCCTTCTTCTCACGCGCTTGGTGGGTTAACAATTTGAACGCTTCTGCCGATATCTGAGTGAGATCAGCAGTTCTATCGACATCCTTCTCATAGACGCGGTCGCTTCCTGGGAAAATAAGACAACGGTTGCGTGCGTCTAACAAGGTTCCAAATTCCGTAAGCCATGACAGGCCGAGCATTAAGTCGTACTCAAGGTCCTGTACTTCGTATGCGTAAACGTTCTTTTTCTCGTGCCCTCCTACATCGACATTAAATCTTACCATGTTGTAGGAGGCGGATCCTCTGGGGCCGTCGAATCCACTGAGCTTACGCGGTTCAGGGAAGGGGATACGCTGGAGCTTATGCTTCTCAACCAGCTGGGTATTTATGAGAGCGTAGTGAAGGAAACCACTGTCTACCATTGCTCGTACGTTGACTAAGCTATTTACAATGGCAGGGACCATGATCGCGTCCGCTTGCATCTTCTGCTCGAACCTCCAGCTAGCTTTTTGCTCCTTGAGCTCTCGTCCGCGTTTTAGGGCGAGAGCTCTTCTTTTCCCTGTTCCTGCTTATCCGCGGACGACACAGCATTCACGCGTGCGGGGGATCGACTCGGGAGGACCGCGTTTGGGCACTGATTCGCGAAGTGCTCTGGCTTGTCGCAGCGTATGCAGACTCCTCTGGCGATTCGGTCGGCGGCGTCCTTGCCCGAGACGTTGGGAACTCTTGGGCGTCCGGCATTCACGTGAGGGATCCAGTCCATTGGCTCTGGCTCGGATGCGGGAGTTGTCGCGGAGCGATTTGGAACGTACGCGTTCGTTCGGCGGAATCCTTTGCGGTTCTGAAACGCGCGGAATTGGGACAGGTCGTTATCGAGTAGACGGAGGTCCGCGCAGTATTCGCTGTACGTTGAGGGCCTCGGGCGCCCTACGCTTCGGTTATGCAACTGGAAGTTCAAATTCTTGAACAGCATGTTGATCTTGATGACGTCGTCCCAGTTCTGCCCGCCTGCTTCCAAGAGCTTGCGATCGAATTCAGGCAGGTAGGTCGCCAACGGGGTGTCCTTCTGACGAGTTTCATTTAGCCAGTCTAACGCCTTGGCTTGAAGCGTAGGATCAAGAAAGAGGGCGTCAAGTTGTCGGAAGACCAACTCTGGCGTACGCTGGTTGTCTGGGCAGTGGCTCATCCAGGGTTGGAATTTCGCTAACGCGTCGCCATCTAACCTGCTGTGGATATACCATGCTTGGTTCGATAGTGAGCCTATCGCTTGGCCATCGATGTCCAACTTGGCGTTCGCTTTTGACTTCCACGCAAGGTATAATGCTAGGTCTCCTGCGTACTTGTCGAGGATTGGGAGCTTCTCTCTCGGGGGCTTCTCGTGAGGTGCGGGCGTAGGGGGAACAGTGAACGTAGGCGTGCTCATCTCAGCGAGCCGTCGTTGTAGCTCAGCCATCTGCAGCGCTTGCTGCTGGAGGATGCTTCGTAGGTCTAGATTATCGTCCGCCGCGTTCGAATGCGGCGGGTGCTCGTAGGTTTGTTGGTAACTCATTTCGGTATCTAAAGACATGTGATTCTAGGGGACGGGATATTCGTAGGCACTCGGGCCCTCGCGAACGCTATTCGCAGCGTTGCGGCGCTAAGCTTATCAAGCTTCTTCGTGAACGCTATTCGCAGCGTTACGGTTCGTAGGCACTCGGGCCTCTTCGTGAGACAGTCGATTGTGTCACGGACGCTTAGGCTCGACGGCCTATGTATCTAATGATGAGGGCACTCGGACCCAACAAGGAACTTATATAACGACTAGGCACTCGGGCCTTTTTTTTTTTTTTTTTTTTTTTTTTAATGTAATCGACGCGCTCGGGCGTAGGAACTGGTAATGAGGCACTCGGGCCTTAAATGTAATCGACGCACTCGGGCGTAGGAACTAATAACTAGGCACTCGGGCCTTAAACGCAGATGAATCGATTCGTAATGTAACGGGCGTGCCACCGATTAAGCAGATGTTACCGATGTTGCAGATTAAACCGTTCGTACCGCCTGCGCAGTTCGTACGATCCGTTCCAACGGCAATATCAACGGACTTGACACTATCCTGATAACAGTTTACGAATCGATTAAGGAAAGAAAGAGAAAGAAGATCAGAAGAAGGGGTCGTACGAGGGGGTTCTTATAGGCAAGGGGATCGGAGCGGAAGAAATATCGGAGGTCGCGCTCTGGGGGAGCGCGGGGCGGAAGAATCGTTAGGGTGTTAAGATGTGCGCGATTGTGGGGCGGAATCGCGAGGAGGCGTGGGAGAACTTCATGAGCGCGCGTGAGCACGTGAGCGCGCGGTAGGGGGTTGGTTGCGTAAGTTAACTACCAACGGGTGCTAACCCGTCACAATAATCAATCTTATCTGTAATAAGTGTCAATGAATATCTTGATTATAATATATATCAGAGATTCTATAATACAGAGAGATTCAATGAGTTTCTGTATAGAAGAATTAGAAGCAGAAATAGATTTACTTTTTCATTTCTTTTTCTTCTTTCTATTTATTAATTTTTTTGTTATCTTTTTTAACAGATTTTTAATTATTGTATATTCACATTTAACATCATCTATTCAACTGATAATCTCACTACTCAGAAGTTGAATATAAATATTATCAAAAGTTATTCAATAAATACTCTATTCAAAGTTATAATAATTTATTTTTTGATAATATTAGTAAATAGTTATTTTATATTTAATTTATAAAGAATTGTATTTATTTAACTGTTGATTTCAAGTCTTCTTCAGCTGCTGACTAATGACTGTGAATTTTGTATATATAGACAACAGCTTTTTATTATCAGATATTTCATAAATTCAAGAAAATTTAACAGAACAATAGAGAGAGAATTTGATAGATGATAAGATTATTTCTTCTTTGATATCTAATACTTTTTTTGATATCAATATCTGAGTTATTAATTATAAATTCAACACTTCAATGAAAGCTGTAGAATTATATATTACAGAGATGTTTGAGAATAGAGTTGAGATATTAAAAAGATTAAAAGAGATGATAATCTCAATACTAAATTCATTCATCTTCTTTTTATATAACTTCTTTAAAAGAATGATAATCTCTCTTCAATCTGTCTCCTTCTCAAGAATGATTTTGATTGAAGATTTATATTTATTTAATGAAATGACTATTATACAATTTACAACTTCTATCTTCTTGCAGTTCTACTTTATAATATACTCTTCAGCTATTTTTTTTACAGTATATTGAATATAATAGAAGCTGATAGTTATATCATTTATTATAATATTCTATAACTTAATCTTTATAGACTTCTTTATTTCATTGATAATCACTTATTTATACAGTCTGAATAAAATCTCAGACTTAGAAATAGATATTTATAGAAATTAAAAATCTTCTGACTGTGTCTTCTTCTTCTTCTTCTTCTTCTTCTTCTTATCATCAGTTGAATTCTTGTTATTATTCAGAATATTCAGAATAGACAGTTTGAACAGACAAAGATACAGAATAGTTGAAATCTTTTTACAAGCTTATAAGACAGTAGAACAGTGAGTGTTGCAGAACATATTGACAGATTTGATGATAAAGATACATATTTGATGATAAAGATGTGTATTTGAATGAATTGAATGATATTTGAATGATTCTAGAGATACATGGATATTTTGGTTATTTTTGCAGTGTTTTGCTACTACTTTTCAGAGGGTGGCAGAAAATTCTGTTTTCACAAGCTTTACATCCACCACAATAGTTACACCAAGCCAGCCACAGCTTGCAAACGCCCCAAAAAATCCTTTGACGGAATCCTGGACCGGCTCTAATAGACCTTCTCCATATCTTTCTACTAGGAGGCACGGATTTTTCCACCCTCTTTCAAGTGGAATATGAACTGGAGGAACTGTCGATCTTGAATGGCACTGTACATCAAACGCCCATTGCAGGATGCAACCATATAATTCTTTTGACATCCTCCTCCTTGAACTTTAACCCCCATCCCGGAGAGCAGGACTCTGGCAGATATCCAACAGGAAAAATCCAATCTTCGCATTTTGCTCGGAATTGAGGAGAGAGAACCCTTTTCATCCTTCTCCTCATTCCTCTCTTCCCCCTCAACGCGATCTCGTGGGTTTCATATCTTCTTCAATGACAGGATGCTGAAATTACGTATCCACCAGAGCAGGTCATGCTGTGCAAAATTGGTGTTTATATATTATACATAATATATTTTCTTTCCTTTTCCTTTTCTTTTTCTCTTTGCGATGAGCTCCCAAAAGTCTGCTGGACAGGGTCAAAGCGTGATGGGGCTTTTGGCTTCATGTTTCTATATTTCCGGCGTTTGCTTTTGCCTGCGCTTCTCTGGCCCGTCCATGACGGGTGGAACCTATTGGGACAACGCTGCGAGCGATCAACGGGAGACGCAACTGGCACAATCAAGCTTGCCGGGACAACGCTGGGCCTACAGACTCAATGAAGCGGTACTATCAACTACGTTTCGCAGTCTCCAAGAGACATTTGCGGAAATAGGCCCGGGGCAATCCCCCAATCTTCCTGACGGATATATAAGAACCCATCTATGTCCCTTCGCTTGAGGTCAATCTGTAGTATCTGCATCACAAATCCGATTGTTACCCATTTTCATTCAAATCAAGTTCGAATCGCTATCTAAAATCAACTTATTCCACCGTCCTCTTCCAGGTCCCGCAAACCCCCATAGAAAACATGACACAGCGCTATTTCGACGTCAACATGAGATTCGATATCCAACCTCCATTGCGAATCTCTCCGGGTCAACGCATGAGCTGGCCCATCGTGGCTACATTTGATGTTGTTTCTCACTTGCCTCCAGAGGTCGTAAGGCAACACATCAGAGCCAGTCAAGCAAAATTGAATATTTGGAAGGGAATCGACCCTGGCCCTGAAGAATATGAGGTGGAATTATCTGCCGCTCTCGTGCCTGTAGATGATGGCCAAAACTTTCAGCTTCGGGCAGTATTTCCGGATGTCCACATCGATTCTACGGGAGGCTTCTTCTTATCTGTACATGGGGTGTTTAGCATGCTTGGCGATCCCAATGTCAGAGATATAATGGTCAATCTTGATGTTAGAGTTGACGTGGAGGAAGGCTCTCCAGAGATGCATAAATATTGTGAGTGCTCATTTATTTCCTTTTATTCACTTTACGCAGGAAAAGGAAGAAACATTTATTCGTCCGCCATACGATCGAACTATGCATGGGAGAACAAGGGCATTGAGCTGACCTGATCAACGCAGCACCGAGTGAGATCGGATTCCTTCGGAACAATTATGAGTCCCTTAATATGACGGCGCGTGAAATGGAGGAAGCTATCAGGAGAAGGTTGAATAACACTCACTGACGGACATCCGACAATGGAATGGCAAGGAAGGCTAAGGAGAAGGGACTTGTGGAAGAAAGGACGGCGAAAGTACGGCTCGATGGGACCAGGACCAGGTCACTGAGATGATGGTGAGCGCGAATTAGGGATCTGCTGGTTTAATTTTTAATACTCCGTAGTACTCGAACCATTTTCACTCTGGAAGGAAAGAGCCGCAGCGGGAAATTTTGGGAAATTTGGGGAACTTTTAGATTTTCTGTTTTTGGTTTTGTTCGCCTCATTCGTTTCCAACACTCATTAATCAATAGGATATCTCCAACTGGTATTTCAATGGAATGAGGCTTTCACATTCAATGCTCACATTATTTCTTTGTTACCACTGGACGGAACAACGCGATTTAATCCACAAAACATCCATCGTCGATGTACGTAGTAGATTCACGGAGTCGTGTATACCCAGTAAACACCAAACAGCGGAAGACACTGCCGCGGAGCACTCCGCGGTTTCTTGGCTCTACGTCACAGCCATCTCCGCGGCCAATGGGAGAAGCAAGATCCCAAAAAATAGCCCCATTGACACATACAGCGTAGTGCATACGTCGTGCATCGGCCGTGCATCGGTCCTACTGGGATTGACCAGAATAATGTCAGTGTTCGGCATGTGAGAGACGCTTTAGTTCCTTGGCGGGGCGCGGCTGAAAATCACCTGACGGCGGAGAGCGCCCATGGATCCAGGGCGGGAAGGCGCCAAGAGTCTTGGAACCCTGGAACCCCGGAATGTTCCATCCAACGTTTAGCGAGGCTCGCTTGCCGAGGGCCGTCTTGTACCAACAGCTCCTTCAGAACCGGTGATATCGCAAGATCGAGTCCCGGGACCCGTACAGTTGTCTATCTCCGGCCGGCAAACTGATTGGCAATCTAAGAACGTGGTACTGATAACCAACCAAGGAGTACGGCCGTGGAATGGATGAAGTCCGCCTCGTTACGCTTCGAAAATATCTGATATCAACACTGTTTCAATACGTCCTACAATCCGGAAGAAAGGTGAGAGGTTTGTTTAGCACTCTTCTGATATCCATATTGTGATCGATGCTTCATGGAAATGTTTTCAACAGGAGGCCGTTCCAAAAAGACAAGATAACAAAGTTGGCCAGATCCTTGTGGAGACTGGGAGACGTCATCAAGGGTCCGGGCCAGTGTCAATCTGTGTGATTCAAAAACAAGCGGTATGCGAGCAAGCCGGGCTGATCTTGACCAAGATAGGATGCAGAGTGCCTTGTCAGGCCGCTTTTACCAGGGGCCTTAGCGAATGGGAGGGCACCGAACAAGCCATGATGTTTTCCAGAAGGGCGCCAGAAGGGACTGATGTGAACCACTTTTGCCGAACTAAGTGGGGTATGGCCCCAATGGCGGTGACAAGGATGGCTTTGTGAGAACGAAACTCATTGGGGGAAATCATCAATCTGGCCCACAACGAGATAAACATCCCTGGATAACGCATTATTATTCCTTGGGTGAATCATTAGTTATCGTCATAGTTATTGGCAGTTGCTGCAGTCACTTGAGAAGATTGAGCCGCCAATCCCCGAGATGTTACTGGCCGTTTCGGCAGCCACAAAAGTGGGTGATGAATCATCTCCTGTTGAATCATTTCACAAATCGGATTCCGACGTGATGCCGGAAGGACTGTTTAAGACAGACAGTTCAACGGGATTATATGCTGTCCCGGCCCGATGATTCCTGCATACATATCACCACGGCTGGCACGCGGAGAAATCTCCTCGGGGAAATACATCAACTCATTCATGAGCCAAGGGAAAGAATACGATCTAGCAGACAAGCCCAGTAAAGCGGAAAAAGGCAACTGGGACTTGATTTGGGTAGCTTGTGCGGGAAATTGCTGGTAGTCGCGGCATATGCCCAGCACTCGCAAAACCTCGTCATCGTCAGTAAGCGACGGGCTAAGTCATCTTGGATTGGACCTTGCATGCATTGGTGCCCATATGCAGCCGAATTTGGCCAGAATCAACAGCCAAAATTGGTCAGTCCACTGATCCCGTTCCCAATCTGGATGCCAATTGGCCATCTGCCCCGCCGCTATCAGTCCCCATTTCGCAGAGCATATTTTTCACAACATCGATGACTTGGCCCAACTTGCGTGTTAGAGATTTTCCAAACACTCTGCTTTCGATTCATGGGTTCATGCAAATTACAATGCTTGGGTAGGAAGGAGACGGCTCTGTCGGTGACATTTAAGTGGTTCGACGAGGTAGGGCGAGAACGGCGTGATCGAACTGTTGCCAGGCTGTCTAGAGCCCCAAATGGAATGACTTTTGGTCAACCTAGGTTGACGATCCCGGGCCGCGGAGCAGCCGACCGACTACACCATCTCGACTCACTTAGTGCCTCCAAAAATAATTAGAGGAGCAGCATTTCATCAGTAATTATTCCTCTCCGTAGCCACGGAGTGACGGGGGGAACCACTCAGTCCTGGCGATTGTCAAAATCCGCGTTCCCGCCGAGGAACTAAGAAAGCAGCCGAGACCCACGGGATGGAGACAATGGTGCATATCATGGAATGTGGGCTTGCAGATGCGGTCCCAGGTGGAATCATAATACTGGATGAAGATAAATACGTCGCTTTCCCCCGCATCTCCTGTTTGTTTGTTTTTGATTTATTTTTTCTGTTGTTCTCATCCAGCCTTTCTTGGTCTCTAATAATACATCTTCTTCGTCCGTTGATCGAGACAAACATTAAATAGTTACACCAGAGCAATAGAATTGACTCCGGTGTCCCTACCCTTCTGTCCTATCACACAGCCTGTCCTGTCCTAACATCAACTTATCCAGTAACCGACGCAGTGCGTCTCGTCTCTCCCTTGGTGCATGATCTCCAGACACAAGATCTGAGATCCTACGCATTGTTATGATACATCCGCACTTGATATCCAACATAAGAACACGATAGCTGTAGAATTGCTATTTTACTTTCTTACCACGGGCCAAAATATCGAGGGAAAGCACTCTTCTTGACGAAGCTGGCTGCTGATCCGCAATTGAATTTGCGCTGAAAACTATCAATCGACCCAACCAAGGCCACCATATAGTCTTTCGATAGGAGCAATCCAATCGATAACAATCACTTATCCATACTCCTCTTCAAAGATACCTGACGAATGTGGAAAAAATCGCACGATAAACCCGTTTCAACCGCAAAAACGGTATCGGAAACAACCGCCATATCACCAACCTCTCCAAACACCGAGGCCTCCACGACGATAATGGCCACCTCCACCACCACCACAAAAACAGCGCCAGCCCGCCGCTTGTTCCGCTACCGCTCCAAATCTCCGTGTCCATCCCCAATCGACACCTCCAGCGCAACCACCACCGAAACCAACAATAGCGACACCCCGTCCTCCACCACTACTACCACCAGCACCACCCACTCCGGCCAACGCACAACATCCCCTGCACCCTTCGTCGCCAGCCCAACAACAATCACCACCACCACCCCTACCACTCCAACACAAAGCCACGTAATGCGCAAACGCCACTCGAACCCTCTCGGCCACCCCAAGCGCAAGAGCAGCGGAGGCAGCAGCCTCAGCGACAATCGGCGGCTGTCGGGGACTGTGAACCATTGCGGGCGTCATGCGAACGATTGGCTGTTTGGCGGGTTCAGTGTGCGGGAGAGTGTGGGGAGGTTGTGGAATGGAGGTAATGAGAGTGGGGAGGAGGGAGAAGGGAATGGGGATGGGGAGGCAAGAGGCAGAAGGGGTTGAGGGTTTGGTTTAGATGGTTTAATTTGGGGGTGTTATATTTCTGCATGCACTGTAGCTGCAGAGATCTGTTCTTTTTCTTTTCTTCCTTTTCTTCCTTTTCTTTTTAGTATTATTGTTCGTTTGTTTGTTTACTTTTGTTTCGATCGTGTTTTATTGCTGACTTTGATATTGCGGGTTTGGTTTGGGGGCGCGGAGAGCTTCTGACGTCATCTTTTGGTGCATTTGTTTTTATCGGAGGAAGGGCGGGATAAATCAGGATCAGGATATTACTTCTTTCCAAAGGTGCGGATTTTGAAGATGGACATAGGAGTTGGTCGCGGTGAAACAAACGTCCAAATGAGTCACCGACTTTAAGGCAGATTAGAAGGTATGGGTATGCTATAAATACCCCCCACTACTCTTTCGAAACTCTTATAAATATATCAAACTAACTTACCATCTCCAAAGTTCTTATCCTTCTTATAACCATTCAATCCATACACGAGTCATATATACTATGTCTATCCGGCCACAATATATTTTCGACGACTGATTCCTCTCTGCACGATCACGGTATACTGTACATACACACGAGCTTTACGAAGTGATGATGAGAAATGAAAAATGAAATGAATTCAAGTTGGGCGTTAGCAAGGGGAATACTTGTCTGTATGTGTGGGGTGTTGTGTTTTTGATCCCAATGCTAGAAGTTTCGATTCTTTTAAGTTCATACACTCCTAATATCAACCTTCCGTGTACATTTACTTACAATCCGTTTACAATCCATAAATATAGTGTGCATGTGTCATGATTAAGCCGTAGTGATCCCCCTCATACATGATCCGTGACTTGATGGAAACAAAAAAAATAAAAAAAGTAAAAAATAAAAAATAAAACCTCACACGAAAGAAACTAGCATTCCACAGCTCGTTTTAAGCTGGGGTAAATATACAAATATATACATATGTGTATTCATTTACAGCCTCGCCGCTGGTTAGAAATATGAAATGTATGTTTTCATTTGCGGAAACTTTCCCGCTTAAAGGGGAATGCGCAATGTAATACTTGTGCAGAACATGATGGGTAATATATAAAGGCAAAGGGACTGGACAAAGTGAACCAGTGCATTCCGAGTCTCAAGCGGAAGCCAGAACCGGAGAAAAGACAAGAAGAAGGGGAACGGAGTCGAAAATGAGGGCAAGCGTGTGGCATTAAAAAATATATCCATGGATACCAGGAGAAATGCACGAAAACAACTTCTCCGAAGTAAAAATATATAAATTAAAAAAATTAGAAACCAAACTCCATTTTCTCATAATCATTCCAAAATCGCCACCAACGCCGCCTTATAATCGCCGCTGGTCTCCCCCTTAACCCTATCCGCGAGTTCCTTGTGGTAGATACCTCTATACATAGCTTTGACCTGCTGCATACGGTTTCTGTCCCAGTGAATCCGAACGAGCCGCTCGACGAGATGCGTATCCTTGGTCCCCCAGCCTTTCATTGCGTTCTCAAGTCCCTCAACATCCCGTTTGATCGGGTCCACTGCACTTTGCAGTATCGCGACAAGTGCTGCCTTGATGTGTCCGGAGAATTTACTCTCAACAGTTCTTTCGAGCACGGACTTGAATTGCAGGTCGTACTGCTGTTTTATCTGGCGTAGCTGGTGATGTGAGTGGCGTGCGAATATTCTGCTGACGACGGCTGCGTTGGGCATAAGTGTGCCCATCGCATGATGGAGGTCTTTGACGGTCTGGTTTATTGCATCAGCAGTGATTGGCACATTCTCTTCAGGCCGCGACGCAGTCAGGACAATATTGTAAAGCGCCCTCACATCGCCAGAGAGGTCGTCTCTGACGTCCGCCTCGAGAGAGCGACCTTTGAACTCGGCTGAGTAGGCTTGTTTGATCGCTAGAAGATCAGCGTTGGATCGGCCGAGCAGGACGTCATCAAGTATCGCTTCATCGGTACCTGCTCCCTTGAGGGCTTTCCTGATGGCATAGACATCCTGCTTAAGCGGGCCGTGAACCAGTGCGACAAGGACATTTTCGAAGTTGCCGGACGTCTCGGAGATGATGTCTTTTTTCAGATCACGTCCAAGGCGTTTCGAGAATGTATCCTTTAGCCTTTCAATAGCGAGTGGGTCTGCTTTGCAGAGAATGCTAATGAGAACCTTCTGATTTGTGCCGAATCCTTTCATGGCCGCGCGGAGGGCATCAGCATCTACTGATAGATCACCTGCCGACATCTGGCCTGGAATGTAGCCTATCGATGGACCTCCGACCATGTTTCCTAGAGCGAGAGCTGGTTGCATCGGAGGATTCAGGCCGGCAGGAGGTGCGCCGTACCCTGGAGCACCTGGATGCTGTGGGTTATACCCTGCTGGTGGAGCTTGCTGGGGGTATCCATATTGCTGCTGTGGAGGGTGGTATTGCCCCTGTGGCTGTTGATATTGTTGGGGATAGGGTTGAGGCGGAAACTGGCCATGTTGGGGTGGGTATTGACCCGGTGGAGGATACTGACCGGGAGGAGGGTACTGTGCAGGTGGAGGATATGGTTGGCCCTGTTGTGGCGGATATGGACTCTGGGGAGGGTAGTTTCCGTACTGAGGGTACTGTCCCTGCTGGGGGGAAGGATGCCCACCTTGGGGTGGATGTCCCTGTGAAGGGAAGGCCTGGGGAGCAGGAGCTCCATATTGCTGCGGTGGATACTGTCCGGGTTGCGCGGCGAAATGTTGTCCAGCTAAGCACTGGTAAGTATAACAATCATTACTAGCTTAACTCGACTTGAGCCCGGAGAAGTACATACAGCCAGGTGGATTTGGATTAGCCATCTTTTTTGTTTTCAAAACTTGAAGCTCTCAGCAGTCCCACGTAAAAATGATACCCGAATGGCCTTATAATAAAAGGAAGACTGAAACAATTCCGACGACGACGGCCAGAGTTGATGGTACGTTAAGACTTTCACAGCGACTCTCTTCACTGCAATGAAACAACAGGAAAAGAGAGTGAAACGCTTCAACAAATGACTGCCAGACGAGCAGCCAAGCAGAAGAAGAAGAAGAAGTAGTAGTAGAAGAATCAGTTAACAGCGAGGAGCAACGGCCGCAGCGGGGGATGAAAGTAACTATTTAACTCGTGGCTGACCGACGAGGCTGATTTCCTGGTCCCACAAAAAGGCTCAGAACGCTCTCCCTCTCACAATCAGATGCGCAAACTCGCCAAGTTCCCGACTACGGAAGTTTGCTAAGGGCTGGCGCCTGTGGTTTGGATCCTAGCCATCGCTAGTTTTCCCAAGGCAAGTCCCTGACATCATTAAAGCCCGGTGGGGGTTGCAAGCGATTGTGGCGGGGCAGACTGGTTTGAGGGATCCCAGTCGAACTGATGCCGAAACGGCGCATCGGTCATACAGGGGACATCCTCTCGCACCCCCTAGTCGGGCTATTCAAAACGGTTCTTCCTGTTGTGCATCGACCGTTTGTCGAGGGTGGCGGTGCTGCAATGCTAACCCGACCACGGCAGTGGAATTTTCTTGGTGTCTTCCTTGGCCCTGTCGTGGTTGTTGGCAGTTGGCCAAATGGCGAATCGTTGGATCCAATCCAAGCGAGTGTCCCACAAGGGCCCATCATCGTGGATACTAGTATTTATCCTTGTCGCAGAGGGGAGGGGCTGGTGCTCTGGTTTGTTTTGTGGGTGGTGCGGTATGGTCATCGCGAGCGCATGAGGATTTATGACAATATATATTTTGATATTCCTCAAAGCTGCTTGAACACAGTTCTAGTCCCCAAGAAAATCAAGCAGCATATTTTGCAGATTCTGCTTGGGCAAAATTCCAGGGATTATTTCTAGAGGTTGTAAATATTCATATGAGTATGGTAACTCAAACAGAGTTCGGCATCGAACCATGGGCAAATTGACTTGCATCCAATATAAATTGTTTTGAGCAAAAATTCAGTTAGATGTCCGACAATATCGCCATAAGACTAGTAGACATTAAATTTACTATTGCATGTCTCTAAACTTGATCTCTTCTAAAAGTTTCCGGAATTCTTTTCTCACCCTGGCCCTCGCCCTGATATCCGCGACCCAACCCCATTCTAATCCCAAAATGGAAGAAAGAAAATGTCATCCCGCAACTCCTTCATTCTCTTCCTCGATTTTTTGCTTCACAAATCCTTCTTAGAAGCCCCTCTCTTGCCGCCAGCCAGCGCCGCACCAACAAACTGCGCCTTAACCTCCACCCATCCCTGTTTCAAAACCCAAATTGGCAAAAACACCCACAAAACATTGAAAAACACAAGGTAGAGCCACAGGTACATCGGGTCGCTGGTATCCAAGGCATGGCTACCGGAAAGCCACTCCGGCGCAAAGGTCATGAATCCTCCATACAACTCCGCGACAGCCAGCCCAATAGCCACAAACCACATCTTGAACCGGTACTTTGCTGTTTGCACTGCCGCATCTGACGACGACAACGACGACGCAGCAGAGGACGACTTGTACAGTGCGTAGCAGATATACACCGCAGCGGGCCCGCCCAGCAGAACCGTAAGCAGCTCGAGAGAAACCACGCCTAGATCCGCGCCCAACCAGCGACTATCCGCCTTGCCATACTCCTGCCACAGGCGAGAGGTGGGGCCCGTGCCGTACGCGGCTCCGTACAGGCGCTGCGGCTGGTTGAGGAAGTGTGGGCCGGGAATGTGCTGGGCGGTAACGGCGGGGATTTCCGTGGATATGAAAAAGCAGTTGTATAAGAAGCAGCCTTCGATTATGAGATGGGTGAGAGCGTCGTAGGCGTGCCAGAAGAAGAGGACGCGGTCTGTCTTGGGGCGCTTGGACGGAATGAGAGTGACGGTGAGGAGGGAGGCCAGGGGGAGGAGGGAGAGAGCGGCGGCGAGGGAGAGGGCCGTGGGGAGATCCAGGAGGAAGGCCGGTTTGTCTATTATAACGGAGGGCATTTTTGCGCCCTGGAAGTGAAAGGATGGAAGATTGTTGGCAGGCTAAATTCTTCTGTTTTTTTTTTCCCTCTCCTTTTTGCCTATATCTTGGTGTAAGCGTGATGAATGGGTCAGACTTGGGGACAGATGGAATTGGCTCCTTAGACTGTGTTATGTCAACTGCCAGAGCCCATCTTGTGGTCTTGTCAGGGCTGTGAACAGCGAGCAGAAAATACTGATAAAAATAGGGGGAAGCCGAAGCTCAGACAAAACGAAGATCAGCCAAGGATAAATTGCTTGGCAATCCTCCTAGCCCTAACGGAGTCAACCACCCAATGTTTCCACTCAACGCCCCGCGATTTTCCATATAAAATCTTTGATGGTCATCTATTGATATCTCAACACCTACAGTATCGAAATAGTATATGATATGTAATTTACCCATTCAAATATATATATATTAATATATAAACAGTTTAAAAATTAAAATTATCAGTATACTGTTGAGCTACGGTCTGTATTATCTTGTGCTTTTACTCATAAATTACACATACAAATTATGAGATTGGTATTCAGATTACAGCATTATCATCACAATATAAACTTTGATATTTTTTTTCACTGAAAACTATGTATGATATAGAGCACTATATTTTTATTTTAAGACATGCACTTTAATAGAGAATAATGTATTCAACAGAAGTTATTCAAATATTACAAAATAATCAATTTTTCAAACAGAAAGCGCTGCACTACCGGCTGATATCTCAAGAGTGGCTGGGAATCATCAGTTAAGGAAGCCCGGTCATTAGAAATTTTATTGAAAGAAATCAAACGTGGCAACATTCGCGGCTTCTTTGAAGCCAGAGAGTTGTGTAGGAGTGCCAGCAGTCTTCCTAATCCCAGTTACCCCTCAGAACGACCGGTGACCCAGCTTGATTTTGGTAACGTAGCGTCGATTCCTGGTACGAGTGTAGATGACCAGAATGACCGTAGCAGCGATATTCCACCACCCAGTGACCGGCCAACCGTAGAAACCGAAATACCTTTGCGCCGCGAGAGGGTTAAAATATCCTTCTTGTCCTGGGAGCGTAGCCAGTGGAGACAAGCCCGCAACCCGCTTCCTTTAGGGAAACACATCGGTAGCAAACTTAGTAGCATTGAAACTGTTATTATGAAAAATACAAAAGAAGCTCCAGATGATTGATTGCGTATCCGCCATAAGAATGGATTACTTAGTCTCTACCTCCCTGCCATTAATAAAATTTATGATCTTCGACAGCCCTTGCAAATCCCCTTCCACTGTTTCCATCAACTTCTCATCAACCCAGCCGGGCGTGTAAGATCCCCCAAAATCTATAATCCACAGGTTGTTTTCCATGTCAATGAGGACATTTCCTGGTTTAACATCTCCCCAGATAATTCCAGCTTTGTGGAGCTCATTGATCATCTCTTTCAACTGATGAATCCATGTTTCTCGAAGATATGGTGCTGCCTTTCGGATTTCATCTCGGGAAGCCAATGTACAGCGAAACTTGATATAGGTGATTAGAATGCCACAAATTTCCATGTTGCTCTTATTTCCAGATGAAACAAGACCATGAATTTTAGGTACTCGAATTTTGTTGTTTATTCCTAACTGATGTAGGTGGAGCAGTGTCTTGATTTCGCGTTCGGTATGTTTTAATAGCTCTCGATAAGCTGGTTTGAAAAATTGCTCCTTTCCCTCATTACCCACAAGCACTCTTGAAGGTCGTAATGGTCTTTCGTTTTTCGAATCCCAGGGTAATTTCACCTTCGAAGGCTCGAGTAGAGGGACGCTAGCAGTCATAGCAGTATACAATGACGAAAGGCGGGTTCGAGGCATAAGGTCATCCGGTTTGTGTGAGGATTGGATTGCAGTTAATTTGCCATCATTGACTGTTATGGTCAAATGAATTGCTGGTGTTGTGTAATATTCCTCTAAGGTTATTATCCGCGGCTCAGTTGGACGAGGTGCCAGGGTACGGAAGTGTGCAAAACAAGCCTTTGCCATCCAGTAGCACATCTCCTCCATTGGGTCTGGTTGGCCAGGTATAAACTGGAAGTCATCGTTATCCATAGACAAGAGGTCCTTTATCAAACCAAAGAATTCACGTTTGATTGCTGGACACCCCTCCATGTTTTCTGCTAGGGCCAAAATATCGAAGCGCCTATCGTAGCACATCACAGTCATTTCGGTTTTATCTTTATCACCACACCAAAAGCTGACAATATCGTATGGAGGATCAAGAAGCGGAGTGGCCTCGGAACTTTCGTTAGGAGTCATCTTAGCAGGATGGGATGATTTCGGCGGATTTGCAAAGGTACAAAAGATTCTTATGTTGAAAAGGGGATGTAGGCGGCTTTAAATTTAAGATGTATTTTGGCCTGAACACGTGATTATCAGCTAATCAATAGCCCAACCAATCAGTGCGGTAACATAGGGTTCGACAAGGATAGGCAAGTTTTAAATTTATTGGACAGTGAGGATACTTTTACGGCAAATATTAACCACAGTTCCCATATGTTAGGCGATACGTAAGCGCCGACGCTAATAATAACATCACAGCTTGGTCAGTTGGTTGGTTGTCAAGTCCCTTTGACAGAATGATGATGGTTTGAAGTTCTAGTCACTCCCGTGCCGCTCATGATTTATTGGGATGCATACATTGCGTTTCAAGATGCTCCCGCTTGGGAGCAAATTCATGCAATGTCAATGTATTACGCGCCGTGCTGAGATCGTTGAAGCTATATAATGGGTAATGAAGTTGAGGAATGGAAGCCAGAGCTCAGCATATCATCTATATCATTTATTAAATCTGATCAACATTGTCACTGGCCGAAAACAATTCTCGCTATGTGTGGTAGAAACAAAAGACGTTTCCGATGTGGGCACGAAGGATACTTCGGCGGTATCAATTATTGCGAAAAGTCCACTACTGTCCCCTCTGGCAGGAGGATCATGTGCGATCAGCAAAGGTCGACATCGATGTTTACGAGCTCGGCCTATTGTGGAAAAGCTGATTGTTTGCTGTCCATCAATCATGGGGTATGGGACTGCTGCAGTTGCACTGAAACTGGCAATCACCACCCTCTGTGTGATAACGGAGTTTGCAACCATGAAATTTGTGCTAATTGCCAGCCTGCACGATAGTGTATGTCAGTTTCTCTTTTTTTGTACATGCCCTTCCGAGTTGGGAAATGTTAAAACAATAAATAACCAACCATGCAGCTACTTAGGTTGCGAACCAACCGTCCCACATATCGACGCCAGCGCATATCAGTCGCTGGTCGCTTGGTAACGTGCCACCACATGATCGGCCGGCCAGTTTCAACGGGTAGAGAGCATTTGTCCTAGGAACTGCTCAGTTTGTCTGATCTCTACCAGTCCGGTACGGATTTGGATTCGACCTTGATATACGGGAAGGACAGGAGGGGTAGGAAGATTCTGTCTTCGGGCTCGGTATTCTTATAGTCTTATGGTTGTGCTTAAGTCTTTTTATACGGTAGTTTTAAGATTTCCAACCGGTAATTCATCAGGCTCTTCTCAAACAGTTCTATTTACAGAATATTAGCGAGCGTGTTGGGTCTTACACGCCTGAGCATGCCTGCTCCCTGGTATCAAATTAGGACTCACTAGGCATTTTGTTCCAACACAGCATCTTCATAATGATTCAATAAATAAGCGCGTGCAGGAACCTTCAGAAGCTATTGAAAGTGCCAATCCAGGTTCCGTTCAGGAAACCTGCAGACGGCAGCACAATCGGACCGAACATGATTTTGTACCCAGCATTGATTCACAGAGTACATCATCGAAAACCAGTAGCTCAATATTAGAAGTGCCCGAGAGTCCTTCCTCTGCAGGTGATCCCGATAACTGGACTCGACCCTACCAACAGAAGTAACCAGCTTGTTGAAGGTGAGGCTGGGCTGTCTGACACACCGAACTTCCAACCATCTTGGTTTTCTGCCTGGAACCAAGATGAGGTGGCCAATCATCAAGGTGCGGGGTTTCATGTGTGCCTAGAGGCCCAAGCTCGTCCCACAGACCATTCAAATTCCTCACGTCCCAATCTGCTCTTCCGTTTCCCTTTTGCATTTGATAAAAGGTAAGCTTCGGAACAAGTAGTTATATATTATTTCTTTACTCTATCTTCGCAGCAATACCCGCTGGTCGGCATTTTCTCTGTTTGAATATAATTGTTTTGGATTAGATATGTTTTACAGCACTAGGCCAAGCTATGGTGATGTTTTCTGCCGGATAATTTTTACTTTTGCCTGCTCTGCCCTCTACTACCACAAAATGGCGTACTCTCTGCCACCCTTCATAGAGTACGCCTGTTGGCTCACCTCTTAATCAATTCCAGGCTTCATTCTGTAATGAATTCAGACTATGGCATCAAACCCTGGGGCTATATCACATGAATAGTTGTGACATGATATCTGGCATAACCAGGCCATGAATGTTCTGAAGAATGGGGGATATTTTTTGAGTCCATTGACAGAGCACTTTTTTCAAGTATGGTCCCCAGCAATTCAATTCGCCAGGCAATCAATCCAATGTAAAAAGATTCTAGTAATTCTGTCATAGGAGCAGCTTTTTAAGTCAGATAAAGATATGATAGTAGAAATGGAAAAAAGATGTTTTGTGGACTCCTTGGTGTTTTCTTCCAGAGTAAATGAATCCACCAACCACCAACTCTTGAGGTCACTGGAAAACAAAAACAAAAACAAATAACAAAAAATGCACCAATCATCTCTGTCCTGGTCACGCCTTGGCGTCCTTCTGGTCAGACCCCCAAAGAAGGCGATGACGATAGAATACGCTTGATCTGAAGAGAGAGAGGTTGCGGAAGCCCCCGTGACATGAGATAAGCTTGCAGAATCGAACGATATCTCAAAACCGCGGAAACGCGTCGGAAAATGCGTCACACGCTGCACCAGACACCCCCAACAAGGCTTGAAGACAACGACCTAGAACCGCCAGAAAAAGGCTACGGTCCCTCGGGCCGCAGCAACGTCGAAAAGCGGACCCGGGTCCAGGTCGATCTCCTCGGCCAAGTTAGACAACACTCATGCGATGATAACGGCGTGACCCAAAAGGTTGACAACGCGCAAACAATAAACGAGGCCCATGACTCTACTGAGAAGAATAGGTTGAGCGCTACAGGCTTGACGAAATTACAAGGCTCGTGGTAGGGCCAAGACAAACGATAACCCTTTGAAGCCAGGCAATTGATACACTAAAGAGAGACTCCGAACAGCTGAAAGCAGGCCAACAGATACTAAAGGCGCAAAATCCGGACCTTGAAGAAGAGATAACCACCTTGAAAACTCAACTCAACCAACCGTCGTGAGCATCGATCGCCGCCATAGGTGCGGGTGAACAACCCCCCAACCCCCCAACCCCACACCACCCCGCCCTCCAAAGAAAGGAACAGGGACAAGAAGGACGCGCTACTATGCATCTGGATCAGCACAGTGATCACACCTACACCCAGCGCCAAGACGGAAGACTCCCTCACGAGATATCCCCAGCAGAAGTCAAAGACCGCGTGCTGAAGGCACTACGCAAGAACAAGCCAACAGAAGTTGCTGAAATCGTCGGAATAGGAACGACGAAAACTGGATACATTGTCCGTTTCAAGGACGAAACCTCGAAGGAGGCGGCCAACAAAAACAGTGAATGAGTGAGGGACCTGGGCGACCAGACAAAAGTGGTCAGACCACGGTTCGGGATCATGGTTCACCGCACCCCGACTCGCGAGGTCGCCAAAATAACGGAGGAAAATAAGCTTAATAACAAGGAATTCAAAATTGTGGATATTGCATGGCTCAAGAGGAGGGACTCCGACCTAGGAGCGTCTGCGTCGCTTGGAATCTGGTTCGATGACCTAGAGGCCACAGAAAGGGCGATACACGACGGCATGGTCTTTGGACATGGGTAACTGGGAAGCAGAGTCGTACCAGATCAAGAAGAGGTGCCACAGATGTCAAACATTTGGCCACCTAGCATGGAGTTGCAAGGAGACACTCCGGTGCTGAATCTGCACCGGTGAACATGACGCGAACTGCCCACCCGAAGCAAGACCCAAGTGTGTGGACTACCACCTGACAGGAGCGAAAGAATGCATAATCAAAAGCAATGCCATCAATATTCAATGATGTCACAAGCACTCCGCATACTACAACTGAATACAGTGAGAATGAGAGCCATCATGAACGCCCTCATCAGTGACTTAAACACAATGGAGCTGGGCATGTTACTCATACAGGAACCGCCCTTTACCTTCCACAAGATGCCTGTCCGACACCCCCAGTGGAGAATACTCAAGATAATAAACATGGATACCGAGGCTAAGAAGCGCAGCCTGATATACATCAACAAATGAATCTCCACTTCAGCCTACAGGCAAGTGCAATGCGACAGCTCGGTTGTTACTGCAATCCAGATCCAAATAGAATTAGACCAGATCCTGATCATCTACGTCTCGAAGTAGATCCCTTAGACCAGTCCCTGGTGGGACGAGTCGCAACGAAGTACACATGGAAGAAGTTTTCGTGGGTATGATCTATGATTTTTCGTGGTTGCTGAGCCGCATCTCTGTTGCCAAGAGTTCATGACTCATTGCAACGCAAAGCTTTCATTTTGGCTCATTTTTTTTATTTGTTAGTCCACTTTCAGATCGGAGAAACCAAGAACCTCCGCGTACAGTAATATTCGAACAGTGAGCTTCGCATCCTGTTGCTAGCATGAGCACTCTTGCTATTCAGGGCTTGGAAACTCACCTCCAGGACCTTGGACTGGAGGTTCCCATCCCAGCGTTTCCCACCGCGAATATTATAAGCAATCCAGTCGACCTGTATCGATGCTATGTTGCTGAGGTCGTGAAACAAGTTGTCAACTGCAACGAGGACATTGCGTACAATTCCATCCAACGAACACAAGTGTTGGCACATGGCGACGTGGTGCTGGTTGTTGCGCGCCTCCGTCTCAAGGGAGTCAACATCGACCAGGTTGCCGTTGACTTATCAAACAAGGTAATACGCAGTTTACCCTCCTACTCTTTTCAAGCTATTAACAACATGCTTCAAATCTAACATTAAACTCCAGCTGTGTACTATTTCTCTCATCTCCAGCCCCGTCCCTAAGGGTGTTTTCATTCCAATCTTTTTCAATGAGACAAGCCTACCCCGCCTGATTTTGTCGTACATCTTCGATCGCCGACAATTGTATGGTCACGGTAATCTTGCTGGTCTGAAAAATCCCAAGAATGAAGCAGCTGGCCGAAAGAAAGTAATTGTGGAGTTTTCCTCGCCCAACATCGCCAAAGAGTTCCATGCAGGGCACCAACGCAGTACCATTATTGGTGCTTACATTTCAAATCTCTACAAGAGTATGGGCTGGGACGTTCTTAAGATAAACTATCTCGGTGATTGGGGAAAGCAGTTCGGCTTGCTTGCAGTGGGTTGGCAGAAATTTGGCTCTGAAGAACTGTTTCAAAAAGAACCGCTGAAGCATTTACTCGATGTCTATGTAAAGATCAATACTTTGTTTAAATCAGAGCAGGAAGCTAGCAAGAGTGCCAGAAACAGTGGTCGGGACACCTTGGAAATAGAGAACAGAGGGCTTTATGCTGAGCGGAATGCCTTCTTCAAAAGAATGGAAGATAGAGATCCAGAAGCACTCAGCTTATGGAAGCGATTTCGCGACATTAGTATCGAGCGTTACATCTCTACGTATGCACGATTGAACATATCCTTTGATGAGTACTCTGGGGAATCGACCGTGCGGCCAGAAACAATCGAGAAGGTCGAAAATATGCTGAAGGGCAGAGGTATTTACGAAGAAAATGAGGGGTCATGGGTCATTAATTTCGAGAAACATGGCGCACGCAAGCTCGGTACTGCCGTTGTCCGGAACCGAGGTGGAACGACGACCTATCTTCTTCGCGACGTCGCCGCTGTTTTGGAGCGCGTGGAAAAGTACGAATTTGACAAAATGATATATGTCGTTTCCGCCGAACAGGACTCGTACTTTCAGCGGGTCTTCAAAACTGTCGAGATTATGGGCTATCCTGATATTGCAGCTAAACTTGTTCATATCAATTTCGGGAAAGTTCAAGGAATGTCATCAAGGCTCGGGACAGTGAAGCTTCTGAGCGATATACTGGATGAATGCGGGAGCGCCATGCACGAGGTTATGCGTTCTAACGAAGCGAAGTACGCTCAAGTGGCGGACCCAGAAGCTGTGGCAGACGTCGTTGGTATCACGGCAATTATGGCCCAGGACATGAGTGGGAAAAGGATCAACAATTACCCTTTTGACATTACCAGAATGACTTCATTTGAAGGCGATACGGGCCCTTACCTCCAATACTCCCACGCAAGGCTCTGCTCTATCATGCGAAAAGCAAATCTAACAGCGGACCAAGTCGCGAAGGCTGATTTTTCCTTGTTAAAGGAACCCCATGCCATCGATATACTTCGTCTCATGGCCCAATACCCAGACATGACGACCCAGGCGTTCAAAACTCTGGAACCAACCACCATACTCACCTATCTCTTCAGGCTTACGCACCAGGTGTCTTCTGCCTACGATGTGATCAAGGTTTTGGGGACCGACGAGGGTCCCGAAGTTATGCTGGCGAGGTCCGCGCTGTACGAAGGGGCCCGTCAGGTACTTGAGAATGGCATGCGATTGCTTGGGTTTACACCAGTAGCAAGGTGCGTTCTTTCATTTCTTTGCTTTTTGTTTGACCAGGCCGTACTGACCAGCAAGTAGGATGTGAATTTTGCAACAAGATGTTTATCCGTATTTTATTAGATAATCCTCATAATGAATGTCAATTTGCTTTTTATTTCACAAGATCAATAACTTATTGGCCCTCAAAATTTCCATCTTTTTTGATGCGATGTGTGGGCGAACAAAATTGCTCTTCTGGTTGGTTGATCATGGTTTTCTTGTAGCCGCTAGAGCTGGAGATCCACGGGGTTCCAGCGCGCTTTTGGGTGCTCAGGCATCCGAGTCATCTTCATCTCTTAGCTTCAAGCTTTCGAAGCCTCCAATCATGCAAGCCGTCAATCCCTCCCATTCCCACCCGGCGCTTAAAAGTTTAGTTTGGTACCTTGAATATCTATATTTGGTGAAGTCGGTTAACATATATCAGCCTCCCATGTTAGTGCTTTTGATTCCATTGGTATTCATCTCCCATTTCAAGAAACGTGAAACATGTTCATGTTCTTATTAAGATAATCAACTCGCACAGATTAGTTTTATTTGATTCAACACAGTTCTTTCCGCTTCTACAAGCGCCTTATGTTGGCCATCCATGTTTTTACACATCCAGCGGCCAGCGTTGACTAATGTGCTCGAGGATTGAAGCGCCAAAGACAAGAGTTATATTTAGAAGAGGCTGAAAGACTATTGCTGAGATAACCGATCCGTTCTATTTGCTGCAAAAATGCGTTGCACGTGGAAAGCGGGATTGACCATTGGCCAACCCTCTAATGTTCTGAATATCTTTCTAATGGACTAGAATTAGAATGTACTGTACAACTCGGCAATCTCCATATATGATATATAACTTTGCCTGGATTGGCCGGAGGAGAATTTCTCTTGTCGGACTTGTTTCGTATTATTCAGAGCATGTAGCAAGAATGCATAACATGGCTACTAGTAATCGCTAAATCGTGGTGATCTCATAAACATGGCATTGATTAATGTACTATTATGTATGTACAGTACAGTCGTCAATCGAACATTGATCGTATATCCCATCGTCGTCATTAAATAATATAGAAAAAAAAGCGTGAAAATCAATATCCCATTGCAATGAGCCATTTCTACCTCCTCGCTCTCCCCTGCTCCCAATTCTACTCCAACCTTACTTCCCCTATAACCACCACATATGACCCGGGAAACAGACCTTTTTGCCCCGCATAGCATCCCCACATCCAGTCATCATTGATGTTGTCCGCCTCCGTAATCTCCGCACCGAATGGGAACATAATTTCATCCGTCACGTCGGGTTCCGGGTAATACGACCAACGAGCCAAGAGACGCAGCCCAACACCGCCTGATGGCGGGAAATGGGAAGAAAAGGGAGTATTCGCGGATGGGTCGGCCGGCGAGGTTGGTGATGAGTTCGACCAGGCTGTTCTTGTGCGCGGAAATCGTCGACGGTGGGTGATGCTGGTGGTGCCTGAGCTTTCCTCTTTCCACGTCCAGTCTCCGGAATCTCGGCGAACGGGGACCGCGACGGGGCCGTTAGAATTGGGAGTCGTGCTTGCGTTTTCGCTTGTTGTGGGGGTTGCCGCCGCCGCCGCAGTTTCAGCTACAGCTACATCGTCTTTCAAAGCATGGCCTCCCACGACATCCTTGACTATAGCTCGTCTCTGGCCGTCTGGGTGGTCCTCAAAGCCGACGATTATCATTCGGTGGCCCTGTAGACACCTTCTCCAGCCGTTTCGTCCATTGCCTTTACTGATTTTGCCGTTCGCCCCGAGTTTCAAATAGCAGTTTGTGCAAAGATCGTAGTCCCCATCGTTGCATGTTGGACAGTGGAACCGGCTTGTCGATGGTGGAATTGGATACGTGCAGTTATTGCATTTTGTGGAGAAGGTAAGTGGCCTGTAGGAGTCACTACCAACCTTGATGGTATTTGCTGATACATAATCGGATGTCACTACGGGAGACGAACTTGCTGGATGATCAGGGACAATATCACCTTGCAGCACTCGACCGATTGGTAGGAGAGCATGTGTGCAGCATTTGCCTTGGTTGACACAACTATTGCAAAAACCCCATTCTCCGCCGTTGCATTCGCTGCATGTCCAAAAGCAGTCATCTGAAAATGATTGGCACATATCACAAAACATGCCTCTTTGCAATCGTTTTGCAGGATCGTCCTTTGTTCGTCTTCTGGAGCTATTCGGCCGGTTCTGTGTTGCCTCAACCGATGGACGCAGGTATTTCCGTGATTGTAAGACATGCGGCGGTTCCGGGACGTCTGAACTTCCTGCTGGATATTTCTTCTCAAATCGGGCCTGAGCACTATGTCCAAATCCAAACCAGTGAAGGCATCCGCGGCCCATTCGATGGCAAGGTAAACACAGATTGTAATTGCCATCATTACATCGATTACAGGTCTTGTAGACATCGTATTGAATGTCTCGTTGATTGCATCGCCTGCATGATATAGACGGCTCTGGAATAAGTGACTCGCCCGTACGAACGGCTGTTTCGCTTCGTGATGATGACGGTCTGGAGGATGGGAGAACAACGGTGTCTCGTTGGTCAGTGGGATGATTACGCCCACCCAATTGAGGGGTTGCAGCAGGTTGAGACGCGGGGCTGAGCTGGCTGGATGATGTTGCTTGAGTACTTGGGGTTGTAGCAGACGAAGTTGAATTTGGGGAGCCAAATATCTGCTGTCGATCAGCACTTCGTACCCCACTCTGACGAACCCTGCGTTCGGATTCACCGCTCCGTCTAGAGGACGAGAGGGATGATGCCGTGCGGTGGCGGAACGATTCTGAGGTGGAATTATTCTGGGAAGGGCGTCGTTGACCAGATAAATCACTAGACGACCTCACTGCCGGCTGAATGAGTGCGTCCGATGAAGACGCAGCCGTTCTATGGGTTGGTGACGTTGCCCGGCGCCTCACACCCTGATCAGAGGAGCTCCTTTGTTGGCGGTTTGAGGAATCGGTTCTCTGTGATGGTGCTTCAAGTAAATGTGATCGAGTGACGGGAGGGCGTACGTCAACGCTATTTGACCTGGATTGACGGCTTCTAGGATCCCGAGAACGATTGTCCCCGTCACCGCGCACATTGTGGCGAGGAATAGGTTGGCGAAGATGCCTCCTTCGATATGCTTCGGCAATGCGTTCGCTGAGTTCATCTTCCTGCGCCGGATCCAAGCTTTGCAGATCTATTCCATCCAAAAGCCCTTCGTCGATGATCTGTCTGAGAATTTCTTCCTCCATTGCAGAATCCCCGTCTGAAGTACTTAGCAATGACCTCAAGCTTGCCTGGTGTTCAATCCTCCTCGTACTCGTGGCTGGATCGGGAGAAGTTCGCTGTTGACTCGCAGCCCGCCGCGCATTTCGTCGTCGCCTTTGAGCTTCTTCCTGGCGGTCTAACCCTCGAGTCCCTGAAATTTGATCTCGGGAACGAGGTTGCGAAGTTCGAGAACTAGAGCTCACACGGGCACGTCGTTGATCTACATCTCCAAGGCTCATTTCTCTTACCTCCGCCAGCAATCTGAGATCTTCTTCCTCTTCTGAGTCAGACACTCGCGAGGAAATAGCGGGCCGTGCTGGTAAGATAGTATCACCAGGTTTGTATTTCCGTTCCAACTCCTTTCTCTCTCCAGCACCCCTCGCTCTATGTGGGTTCGACTGCAGGAATAGGTCAAGTAGCGTAGTAACCTTAGCATCGTGTCTTGTGTCGCGGATAACGGCTCGACAAGACGGGCAGGTAAATTTGATATTCCTGCTGGAGCTAGGTGGATGCGATTCTTGCCATGAGACCCACTCTTTCAAACAGGAGCCACAAAAGGTATGGAGGCAGTCGAGTAGGGTCAGCGGCTGGTAGAGAATATCGGTACATATCTGGGACAAAGTCAGACCACTGTGCTTATTGGGAGTGAGGGTCCGACCTCAAAACTAGGTACTCGATTTAAATTTGGTCCTTACTGAGCAAGTTAATTCCGTCTCCAGGTTGACCAGGCCAGCTCCCGTAGAGTGTCCGTTTGACATTGTCACATCCCTCGCATCGGTAGTGAGGGGTTGGCGGTGGGGGTCTCTGGTTCAGATAGGGGGAGCAAGGCAGATCAAGCACAAGGCAGGCATATAGAACTTAATACGGAGGTTTGGAATTTGGATAGAACTAGAGCATTACTGCACAGCTATGACATGGCAGAACCCTATGTCGTCCGTGTGCGTTGTTGGTGGGTTCTTCATCCAGCTGAGAGTCGGGCGAATTGGGCGTGGAAGAATTCACTTAGCTAGCCCAAACGATCACAGCGCCTTGGGATATTTCGCTATCTGACTGCACCATTCGAATATCAGCGATCCATCCTGCAGCAAGCTTCTTCTTCTTCTGTTAAACACAAACACGACCGTGCGTTCTATATACATTACACTCCCACACGCAACTCGGAATCATCCAGGGCTAGATTACCTTTTTTCATAGATAAATATCCACAGCGCTAGCTGCGATCAACTACGTCACAAGTCCGAATGTCAAGAAATCAAGGAGAAACGCCGTCTATCCCTGGGTATCCAGTGTTCGACATCCGTCCTCGGGACCAACCGCAGCTTGTATTCCCTGTTTTGTCCCATGACAGCTGAAAGCGTCGAACTTCACCTCATCTCGATTGGTGTGTTTCCTACCAACAGGCTCAGCAATGTCGTCGGGCATGGCACCAGGGTGAACACTGCGCAAGAGAAGGGCGTGCGTGGGTTTCCCAATTAAGTTGGCCTCATGAACACTGCTATATCCCAAGTTCTTGAGGATGTTCCCTTTATTGAGGATCCAGGCTACGATGAGAGATCTCTCTTTTAACCGGCTTTTCGCCTCCCTGAACCTTTTATAAGCATGAAGGCCTACTCATTGACAGGCTGCGCATCGGCACCGTCCACCCTGATATTGGTCTACTCTGGATATTCCATTTTCATCAGAATCATGGAGCTGCATGCAGGATCACGAACTGACCGGGAAAGAAAAACCATTTATTATGTTCTAAACAAGAGAACTTCGATCTTCTACGTTCAAATGAATAAAATGGTGTGGCACAGTCCGGATTGCCAGTAAACAACCAATCTGATATACAAGGAGTGTTTATCGATAGTATGCTCATCTTTCCTCTTCTTTAGACCTCTTTTCCATTTATCCATGGTATATATGCTGATATCACCTCCAAGGTCACAGCTGCAATATTCACATACGAGAGGATATGCATACTCCAGCCGGCAACCTGCAAGCAACCGGAACAACACCCAACTTTTGCTTAGCTATTTACGCCCCTTCGCAGGAGATAACCACGGCAAGCAGGGAGCCTTTGGCGTCTTGAAATGGATGCTCGATCTCGAGAGCTCCGCCGGTCACCTCGTGAACCATGAGTGTGCGTAAATTGGCTTATTTTGTTACGAGGGACGGATCGAAATGGGGGAATTGTTTTCAGCTTCTGCCTTTGCTTCCGCACCCTTTCGCTGGTGCTGGACCGGTCGGGGTGTAAAACGCAGACTTGTCTTGGGCATCTAGCGATTCATTGATTCCGCGGCTCGTGTTGCGATGAGTTTGTATATTTAGGCACGGCACCACCTGAAAATACGGAGTGATTAGAAGAATAGCCCGCCTAGTGCATGCGGGACGATCAACCGCCGCCCTCCCGTCCGTCCCGAAGAGACAGGGCTCTATGGTGCTCTGAATAATTCCATCATTATTGGGATGAAAGCAACGCTTCGTCCCTTCATAATTCGTTATTTAGCGATCCAATTTACCTACCCGACAACTTTCAGCATGTTATTCCGTTTCTCGAAGTCTTGTACTGTACATAGAGCTCAGTTGCCGTCTATCAAGCACTATATCTTCGTTCCTCATTTCCACTCCTGTCCCTCTTATCATACTCGGCCTCGCATTATCAGGATTATGAGACTATATCTCCTGAAAAATTTTTGGCTGGCATGTGGTTGATTACTTGGACCGTTTCAGGCCTTCATATCTGCCAGCACAAGCTGGGTGTGTGAGTTCGTCCATGTATGTGGACGACCCGTCTGAGCTCAACGCCAATAGAGCGATCCTAAGCTTTACACCGTATGAAGTTTGGCACGTACGTATACGCATATTTTGCGGGGTAAGTGCAATTCTTGCATATGCAGATGCAGACGCACACGCAAGGCAAGGGTAAATACGTCTCCTTATGCGAATTGGTTACACGTCTGAATAAAACCTACTCTTCTCCCGGCCGGCACAACCCCTTCCCCCGCCTCCCCTCCCCGTTCTTTACGGAGCTAGGGTGAGCAAGTCGGAGATTAGACACTTAATGCCCTCGATCACTCGAACCTTCTGACGGAGTGGCAGTTGTCAGTAACGCAAATACCCCTATCCAGGGAGGCTTCCGCCCGATTCCCGCACGAATCAAATCTCCCAAAGTCGCGCCCCAGAGCCATTTAATCATAGAGGGAGAAGATATATGATTTTCAAGAATAGCGGCGAAGAAGATAGGCATATCCTGTACACCCCGAGCCTTCCGTTGGCTGACAAGAGGAAACAGGAAACAGGAAACAGGTCTGGGCCATCTGTCGAATGGACAGGGGAGGATCAAAAAGAGCGGTAAAGGGAGAGGAGTTTTAGTTAGGACTCACCTGCATGCCAGGAGCCGAGATGTTTTTGATTCCAAGGAAACGTCTTGGTCCGCATGGTAATAGGTGCTTGCATGTACTGTTGTACTCCACCGCGCTCCAGGACGTCAGGAGATGCAGGCTATTCTGGAAGATATGCCGCGGAAAGGTTGCCTGTGACGTTTTTTGGGCAATTCTACCCGTTCACGTTCCACCGGACTTGACAGCAGGTTTGTTTCTGTGCTTCATCATTCCTGTGATATGTGTGGTTGCAGTTATGCTGGGGAAGATAACTGGGTAGATGATCGGTGGGTGGGACAAGTAGCATATTTTGGAGTCATTAAATTGCAAGATACTATTGCATGAACTGGTGGGCTATGTGTGTACTAAGTAAGGTACTGTACATCAAGTGCTTGGTTTGCTTGTCCTTTCCTTCATAGCATACATAGGTCGAATCTACTGATGTGTATATGTATCCAATCTGCTGCCCCTATGTACGTTTTTCAACATACATTTCGCCAGCGCACGGCATGCTTTTTCTACAGGATGAATAGCCACACATATCCTGCCACAGCCTGCTGTGCGCAAAGCAATGCGCAGGGTAGAAGGGGGGATATTAAACAAAAGAGTTCTGTAAATCGATGCAGGTTCCAACCACACCCGACAAATGGTGCTCAGGCAAGAATCAAGTGCTCAGCATCGCACGAACCTATCAACCCCCCCGAATCACACCCAGGGTGGGGGAGAGGGAGGGGGAGGGGTTCGCTCGCAAACTTGGCTCGAAATAGCATAGAGCCCTTGGGTTTGGAAATTAGAGAAGAGGTTAGGAGGGGAGGGGAGGGTCCCCTGGTGCTTGTTTGAATAATGAGGGGGCCAGCGCCAATTTCCAAGGGATGCTCGGGGGGGTCAATCATATTGGCCAGGCCTAATCTTATCTTTCGTGGGTTCAGCATTTGTGAGAGTGCTATGTATGTAGGGCTGGTTCAGGGTGGTTGGATGGGTGGAGTTCTGGCCAGTGTTGAAGGGCTGGGCCATTCGTGCCAGGGTTGTTCTAGTAGTTAACTACAGGGGGGTGAGTGGATCCAATGTTTTGTAGGCAGCATGTTCGTACAGCGTATTCTTCTTGAAGAATATTTTTCCACTTCTCCTTCACCCTTTCCACCCTCCGCATAGTGGTACCTGCAACTTAAATGAAATATGATCTATACTGCTTATGTATCTAGGGGTTCCTGGCGCGAGGACGAGGTTTCGGCTTTCAGCACCCTTTCGTCAATCTGTGCCGATGCCAGCAAGCTTCTCCCCTAGATTAGCTTCGACTTCAATTTCAGGGACTTGACTCCACTTCCAGGGAGAAGAACTGCAAAGTGTTTGCGATGAAATTGAGAGAAGTTATAGAAGTAAATGTTAAGATGTCAAGCAATGAGCCTGTCACACAATATGACTTACTTAGCTAGAAAAAAGGAATTCCGTGGAACAGTATTTCATACAATGAGGATCTATTTGTAGAACAGCGATTTTTGTGATAAAATGCAGCCGAAGGCGGGACAAGACAAGGGGAACACAATCCCCGCAAGGCAAAGGGATATAGGCGCTTACGTATTCAGGTCTCATACGGAGAAGCAACACACTTGAGCTCCGTAGTCGGGATAAACTCAATGCCCATCGAGACTTGATCTTGGTAAACGTGTACTTTCCGTCATCTGTGTGAATGGTTTCGATGAGAGGAACACATAGGTGGTGGCATAGTGATTTGAAAGGAGGTGATGGATAACTATCATCGCTCATAGGGACATGATAATTTCCTTCGTCGGGGTTTTGGAACCTCAACACGAATTCAACTGATGGGGAGAGGTATATCAAAATATGACCCTCAGCTGGCCATGATATTGTCGTGAAGGTATTCGGTTTATGGTATTGCATTGCATTGTCATGGTCTTCGAATTGCAACTCGTTGAGGGTACGGAGTAGGAAAAAGAGAATTAGAGACCCAGGTGGGTGTTGTTCTGTTAGCCAGTCCAACCACCACGAAACTTCGCGGGATAGTTCTGCCGGAAGGAGGTGTGGATTTCTTGCATGTTTTTGGGATAATCCTGGATGCAATTTCCAAGGGATCCCGGACGCCATAGAGTCTAAATGTTGGGCGACTTCGGGAAGGTAAGAGAGAAAGAGCTTGGAGCTATATGCCCGCTTCTTCATATTGAGCTCATCTCGATTGTCTTTGCTGAAACTGAACATGTCCATGAACAAAATACGTCAGCTACCTAGGTCGGCAGAGCGGGGCTCCGATTATCGGCATTGATATGGGCTATGGACCGCCATTTGATGCATAGATGGCGGTGCATCCTGCGAAAAGCATGCACGAGTTGGACGGCACGGGGAATTGCATAAATGAAATACACCCCATGGACAGAAGCTAATGAACCCTTCATGGCCAAGGAAGGCCCGTGGTACGAAACATCAAAATTTGTGGGGAAAATCACAGGGGAGCGTAAAGGGGGGTTTCGACTCATGTAAATGTCTGTACAAATGTACTGTACATGAACACACAACGCAATCGAATACCTCGTTGACGAATTGTCGAAGCTGGTAGGTTGCCCCTTAACACACGCTTTTGCCCATGTCAACTCTGTAACGATGACTTAGCTAATGCCTGTACTAACGGCTGTCGTCGACGGATCAATTAATTGATATCCCTCGATCCCGGCTCAATCTTAGCCCGTGTCAGGTCAGAGACTGTTGTGTGGGTTGAGCTCTGGGTTTTCCGCTCTCTTCCCTGGAGAAAAGAGAGGGGCCGGGGGGAGGGGGATAATAATTGAAACCATCCTGGTGTAAAAAGAGGAGGGAAGTGCTTTGGGAGTTTTGACGACTTTCCTTGATTTTTGACCGTTACCTATCTGCCAAGAACAAGCAGCCCGTTGACGCTGGTTTGAGACATTGGAATTGATGCATGGAAACGGCAGTTTTCCAAGACGTGCTTTGACACATAACGAGGGATCGTGGTTCGTGTGCAGGTTCTGGCCCCTATCGGTGAATTGCTTGCATGGATGGGCGTGATAAGTTGACTGGCTGATTTACCTTCGTGTGAGATGCGGGGAAATCCACCTTGGGAGGTTGGTTTGAACGAAGCCAATTAGCATGGAGGAGGTCCGCAGATGGTTTTGTGGCTGCCCTGCACTCCAGGGCCATGGCGTATTTCCTTATTCCCAGGATCGTTTCAAGTTGCTTGGTGGCGTACGCAGGAATTTGGAGGTTGACTTCTCTCGACCTTGAAATCAAGGTGCAAGATTTTGTATATATGCCTCTTTCTCATCCAAAGCCGGATAGTTACCCGAGGAAGCGCTGTCTTTAGTTTGGGATTTGACAGATACCACGAGCTCAATCTCAAATCAAACTGTCTTGATGACAGCTTGAAGTTGGAGGAAGCTTCTTATCCGCCTAGGTCCGCCAGATGGCTTGTACTTGGTACATGTTACTGTACCTGGACTTCGCCCTCAATAATCGAGCTGATCAACCACCGGACCAGGAATTTAAGCTCTCACCTCACCGCCTCGAGTGTTTTTTTTTTTTTTTCAATGTTTTTTGTTTTTCAATTTTATATCTCCGGGTTTTTTGCTTATCGGGGCAATTTGACGAATAATCACGAATAATCTATGTAATAATCTGCATCATGCCTTGATAATCAGCCGTACTTTTCTCTTTTCAATGGACCAATGATCGGTAATTAAGGTTCAAAGCTGTTGCAAAAAAAAAAAAAAAACCTCCTAACATCAACTTGTCAGCAAAGGAAGAGCACAATTCTCCCCCTCAGCAGCAAAAAGAGCATAGCTTCCAAGAAAGCGTCAGGGAAACCTCGTCGCCCCCTTTGTCCCAAACACAATCACCTCATTCGCGTCCATCAGGTTCCGTCCCCCCTCCAGCCTCTGCTGGGGGACCTGGCATGCCTGGGCCCTAATAACCACCCCGGCGATCAGACCAGCATCTTGCGTCGACATAGTGGAGCAGAGTTTGCTATCCCTGGTGGGAGAGTCCGTGGCAATGAATACTCGTCATCAGGATCACCCATAAGAACGCGATGATGTTGCTGGGCCAGAACGGGTTCAGGTGGGGCTTGCTTGGTGGGTTTTGGTTTTTAGCTGCTTGTCGCTAAGAGATAGGCCGACGTACATACATAATACACACACAGGTTGCTGGGTCTGCTCTCTGATGACATACAAAACGGAGCTGAATAAGGTGGAATGATGGTTGGACTGGAGAATTGAAAGGGAGATGTTTCTTCTTTTTCTTCTTCTTCTACTTCTTTTAAAGGAAAACATATCATAAGAGCATATAAAGAAGATAAAAACGTCTGTGCCTTGAATCGTGGGAGGTTCCTTTCTCAACACGAGATACTGGTACTTATTCCAATAGGCTGAGTGTCCTGTGTACTGTACATGATGCTGGACAGAGTTCCAAAAACCAAGTTTCCATTCCTGCAGCTGTGACGGGGAAACAATCGTTGAGAGAGAAGAAAGAATGATGACTGTAAAGGACACTGACATTTAATTAATCATTCCCTACCCATGGACGCGGCATTATTTTTGCGATTCTTGTTCTCCCTTACTCGATCCGCAGAGAATTCTTTCATCTGACGGGATCGACAATCAAGAGAAATGATGACAATGAAGGAGATTTTTCTTTTTTCTTTTTATTTTTGCTTTTGCTTTTTGCTTTTTCCTCGTTTGGGCCCTCTTTTCTTTTTTCCGTTGAGTGGCGAAGATAAGACAAGCGCGGAAAAAAAGAAAATACACAAAAAGGACACAAAAACAAAAACAAAAACTAGAGCTTTCATGGACGACATCTAAACTTAATCCGACCTTCTTAACGATTGTTGTTTGGCTGACCAGTGACAATTTCCACAGTACGGGGAGTAGATGATTTATTCGTTAACTAACGACAAAGGAGATATAGCTTTTTCCAGGATGTTGCAATCTCTGCCTATGATCACGATAGGAATCTGCTCCAGAATTACGGAGGACGCTTCTTCTCATCCCAGCTTCCCAAGCTCCTTGGAGCTTTGCCCAACCTGTTTGTTTTTTGCTTCGTCGAGTTTCATCGTGAGGGCCCGCTGAGTTTTGATTCGCCCGTGGCGTGGCCTTCGCCCTTTCTTATCGGCCCGTTATCGCTGAACAGCCGATGGTCTTTGGAACCTTGTGTGTGTGTGTGTGTGTGTGTTTTTTTTTTTTTTTTTTTGCCCCTCGACTAACGACACTACGGAAAATTTTTCTTTGAGTTATTCTTACTTTTCTGATTACCAATGTTGCTTCTGGGCTGTGCAGGTAGTATCATCGTTTTATCCAGAAGTCTTCCCCAAGGAAGGACAGGTATAGGTACTGTACTGGAAGTTAGAACTAAGTTAAACCCTCAACAAAACCTGTTGAAACTAGGGATAAGCTGCGATGGAGAGGGCCTCCCTCGAATGGGATCCACATTTTATCGACTATTGCTATTAATATTCATCGCTGATTCCTCTCTGCCCTCTGAGGGCCCCCTCTCCCCCTGCCCCCTCCCCCCCGCCCATGCTCTGCCCGCTGTGGGGCTCGCTGTGCGTGTCTTGAATCTTCCTCAGTTCTATCTCAGGACAGGCTTCAGGTCCAGAATCTCCCAGGAATAAAAAGATAATGGCCTTGGCGGCGTTCGTTTCCCTGGAGGGGTTTGTGCGGGTGGGTGCTGGAACGGGTTTTTTCTTTTTTCTTTATTTTTGCAAGGGCTCCTTGCATTTCGCCATTCGTGCGTGGTTGTGGGTGATCCACTCATGCAGAGAAGCATGATAAGATGCATGCAGGCGCTGAGGGATGGTGCTGGGGGATTGGACGAATTCATTGCTATTGCTACATCGTACATACATCGTGACTAAAGGTTGGTTATTCAACATCGAGGGGTTTGTTTTGAATCTTTGATTTCTTCCAAAATATCAGGTAAAGAAAGGATGGATATATCTCATTCTGGTAGGCAAGCAACGCAAAAAGTTTGCAGCTGTCAAAAGGCTGGCTAGGGGGGGAAAGACTTTTCTAGAAATCCACAACGTGATAAACCAGGAATGAATGATACGGTGATAGCTTTCTCGTAGACGTCGGGGATTGTCGAATACTTCATGCACAAGTAGAATCAGACAATGCGATGGCCGTAGCTACAGCCTCCGTCCCGCACTGCTCATCCCATGTACCGGTACATACAAGCAGCAAGCCGCCATCGTCCTCGCCCTCGTCCTCTCTGTCCTCTGCGTGAACTCTATCCGTGGAGGAAGCGGTGGCTAGCGAGGGCTGGACCGAAACCCGCTCGCTCCTTGCTGTTCCGCCCAGTCCGCCACCATCATCAGGCCGGCTTCCCTGCCCTTCCCTGCCCGCGGCCAGAGCTTGGTGGGCCGGCATGCGGCAGCAGCAGCAGCTTTTCTCTCTTATTCCTCCTGCCATTCCCCCCTCCCCCCTCCTCGTCCTCGTCTGCGGCTTCATCTTCATCCTCATCCTCATCCTCATCTTCCTCCCCTCTTCTCTCTTTCAATTGCTCATTCTCAAAGCTCGTTATCATCGCCTTGAGTCGGTTTTCTGTTTGCATTTATTCCTTTTTTGTCTGCCAAGTTTCTTGTTTTCTCGTTTCCTTGCTTACTTCTTTATAATTTCTCTCATTTCTCGTTCTGTCTAGTCTTCTGCGCCTCCGTTTCCTCTGCCATCTCCTCCAGTCTATCGTATTTGTATAGAGCTGGGTAGCTTGGGAATCTACAAGGTAATTCCACGTCTTTTCATTCTTTCGAAATATCCACTTTGGTTCAGCCCATCCTTTCATGCTGGTTGAGACCCCGTCGCTTTTTGTGCTCTTGCTTGATAACCCCTCGTTTAAGCATATTCCCGCTCAGTGCTGCAGCAGAGAGCAATCTTCTCCCCATATCAGAAAGCTCTAGATTGCTCGATTGACTGGAATAAACGCTTCCTCTGGCTTGGCTTCTCCGAGAGTTGGCGTCATATCCCTGCCTCTCAAGCAACAAGTGGGATCCTCTAGAGTAGACCTGCAGGCCTCCATGATAGAGTCAGTAT